TGTGTTAATCATCTATAAGAGCTCAACAGATTTGGCAAAGCTAGTGGTGGTAGATATTGATTCACAAACGATCATGAAAGTTAAGTCTCAGAAGTAATTGCCGAAATATTTATGTCAAAATTTGGGCAAAATGCCCTACTGAAAATTTACAGTGATGGTAAAATTGGCATACTTTTATTTTTTGACCACGTACGAGGTATGCATTGCTTCAATTTTCACTTTCTTTGCAAATACAAATTGGAGGAGAAATCATTCAGTTTGGTCTTCCCACGCGGAATCAAAGAAATGAGGATTAACAAGAACAAGTTGGTTGGAACAAAATGTTCAAGGCAAATTCTCATCAATGTGCAAACCTAACTTTCAGGTTTTTAAGGAATTACTGTTTATTGGAGACTGAAGCTATATCAAGTACTTAAAGGAGCTGCGTCACGAATTTTATCAAAATTCTAATAGAAGGAACTGCCACCAAATTGAATGAAACGTAAAATAATCGCTCGACACATTTAAAAAGGTATAAATAACAAAACAAATGCATAAGTAGGTGCGGATGGACAAACTTGAAGATTATAAGGGATTGAAATTGTGGGCTTCTGAAAACTTATTAGCCTAACAGTTTTTCAAAGTTCATTTTTGTTTTTGTAACGTTTCTCCTGGTTTGATATAATAGTTCAGTTGGGAAGTATATTTGTTGGATACGAAGCCGTGATTTTGTCGTTTACAAAACATTTCTTTGTTAACGTTTAGTTTCAGCAGCGCATAGAGAAGCGTAGTCTCCTCGCAGCAGTTTTGGGGGTCGTCACGCAACGCTCCTAGCGTTGCGTGACAACCCTAAGAACGGGAGCGAAGGAGACTAAGGGAAGTGCAGTTGGCATTAACAAAATGAACTAGACAGGCATGACACGTGACACAGTCCCTTTAACAAAGTGTCTCCTTAGATTTTCCAAACGTATCAAAGTCGTTCTAAACTCCACTTCTCGATACCTGGATAATTTCTGGCTGATTTAGCAACAGAACGGGAACGTCAGTTGACAACAGCGCGCGCAAATCAAACAACTGGTTTGACCAACGGCAGAGTGGAAAATGGGCACTGGAAGTCGAATTTAGTCCTTTCTGTGCGCTTCCCCGTCGTCAAAAGGACGTTCCCGTTCTGTTTTTAAATCAGCCTATTGAGTGAAAGCACTGGGCCTACTGTTTGAGACGCAAAGCACCGATGGTGGGGTGCATACCTGATTTTCATTGGGAAGGATGATTCCTTGTAAAGGATCTATGCTGAGATGTTTTACTTGAGGACCAGGGATCTTCCATGAAAATCTAACGAACAAGAAAGTTTGAAATAGTCAGTAAAGAATAGGCCTTTAGTAGCTAGCCATTCACGTGGTACAAAACCGCCAAGCTGGAGCAGGCTCTTCTTTCAACCATTGGGGCACAAATTTCTTGGGTCGAGTCACGAGGAAACTCTGTAAAACGAACACAACGCTAAGAAAGCATTCACCTTTAAAACTCATTAGGAACTCACCTTAACGGAATCCTGGAAGTGTTCTTCAGTTTAAATCTTCTGGTCGATGCTGTACCCAGACAGGTGGGTTTGAAGTAAACAGTTCCCTGAAAGAATTGAAGCGTAACGTGAGCTCCTTCGGAAAAAATGATAAATCAAGCTGTATGGCGCTCAGTTCTAACAATGTTTACAAAATTATATCAGTTAATGAAAGAGAGGACCAACAAAAAATTTAAACAAAAGCTGTTTACCAGGACAGAAAGTTTTGTTGTTAGAAAATGCGTAAGATAGAGCCAATACGAACGATCAACTTGAGCGCTACGATACTTTTATGAGTCCTTTCAATTATGAATCTCTGAAAAAGGTCGGCTGTTATATGGAAAGAGTAGCTTACCTAGAATATCTCTTGCGGTCTGGTCGTCGTCATATGGTCCCGTTACTTCCTGGTCAATGAACAGATTGTAATGTAGACTACAGTCACTGTTGTTGTGGATTGTCAGCTCTCGAGATGCAGAGCTACCAACAACAATGTCACCAAAATTCACTGAGTCTTCCATACACTGCAAAGAAACCAGAACCTTTGAACAAAATACTAAGGAAACACTCAATCCCAGGACATGTTAGAAACCACAGGTTATCTTTGGCAACTGCAAAGCTTGATAAATCGTGCAAATCGTCAAGAGGGAGTTTACGCAATAACGACAACGACGGCAAAAGCAATACTTCCCAAAAATGACAAAGCAATGCTTTTCTGCATAAATTTTTTTAACAAATAACCAATACATACCACAATTTCCCCAACAGAACCTTCGCCGATAACTCTCACTAAATAGTTCTTTTCATCTGCTGTTCTGTAAAATTAGAGAAGTTAATTGTCTCAATGAGTAAAGAAAGTTCACCACCTATTTATAAGCTTCACGCTCCGAGTTCATTTCAAAATGCCTTAGGCCTTGGCCAATCATCAAAATTTTTCATGAGGCGAACCAAACTTTGTGGGTTAAATTCTTGAAAAGCTCGACGTCTGGCTCAGTTAAGTTCATCTGAATGAGTCTGGATCGTCCAAAACGTTCTAACGGACGGATAGAATGTCTGAAGATCGTCCCCGGGACAAACGTCGATCTTCACATGCGACGAACTAAACTGGTAAATTAAAAATTTGTGTGATAATGTATATTAACCTCGCGCGGGAACAATTTATAACTGATCTGACTCACTTGACAGGTTCGACATGTCTTAAGTTCGACCCAAAATAGAGTTTAGTTCGTCTCGTCATAATTTCGACTTTAATCTCAGAAAAAACCCTTACAAGTTATACCAATGTCGTAAAAACGATTTTCTTACGATAAACCACATCTGATTCTGAATCATGAAGTAAAGTGAAAGTATGACTGACTTATATTTGATTTACAGGTACAATTTGTATGCGTGCATCGGGAGTAATTTATACGTACTGTCTATGAGCATCTGTTTGCAATCCTTTCACGGTTAGCTTTGTCTTAATGAGGTACTTGTCCTCTTCAAGAGGAATGAAGTGAAACGTATGAGCCTATGAGAAAAAAAATACAATATAATTAAAGTTGACAATAATTAATAAAAACATCCTCCACATTGTGTTAATCATCTATAAGAGCTCAACAGATTTGGCAAAGCTAGTGGTGGTAGATATTGATTCACAAACGATCATGAAAGTTAAGTCTCAGAAGTAATTGCCGAAATATTTATGTCAAAATTTGGGCAAAATGCCCTACTGAAAATTTACAGTGATGGTAAAATTGGCATACTTTTATTTTTTGACCACGTACGAGGTATGCATTGCTTCAATTTTCACTTTCTTTGCAAATACAAATTGGAGGAGAAATCATTCAGTTTGGTCTTCCCACGCGGAATCAAAGAAATGAGGATTAACAAGAACAAGTTGGTTGGAACAAAATGTTCAAGGCAAATTCTCATCAATGTGCAAACCTAACTTTCAGGTTTTTAAGGAATTACTGTTTATTGGAGACTGAAGCTATATCAAGTACTTAAAGGAGCTGCGTCACGAATTTTATCAAAATTCTAATAGAAGGAACTGCCACCAAATTGAATGAAACGTAAAATAATCGCTCGAAACATTTAAAAAGGTATAAATAACAAAACAAATGCATAAGTAGGTACGGATGGACAAACTTGAAGATTATAAGGGATTGAAATTGTGGGCTTCTGAAAACTTATTAGCCTAACACTTTTTCAAAGTTCATTTTTGTTTTTGTAACGTTTCTCCTGGTTTGATATAATAGTTCAGTTGGGAAGTATATTTGTTGGATACGAAGCCGTGATTTTGTCGTTTACAAAACATTTCTTTGTTAACGTTTAGTTTCAGCAGCGCATAGAGAAGCGTAGTCTCCTCGCAGCAGTTTTTGGGGTCGTCACGCAACGCTCCTAGCGTTGCGTGACAACCCTAAGAACGGGAGCGAAGGAGACTAAGGGAAGTGCAGTTGGCATTAACAAAATGAACTAGACAGGCATGACACGTGACACAGTCCCTTTAACAAAGTGTCTCCTTAGATTTTCCAAACGTATCAAAGTCGTTCTAAACTCCACTTCTCGATACCTGGATAATTTCTGGCTGATTTAGCAACAGAACGGGAACGTCAGTTGACAACAGCGCGCGCAAATCAAACAACTGGTTTGACCAACGGCAGAGTGGAAAATGGGCACTGGAAGTCGAATTTAGTCCTTTCTGTGCGCTTCCCCGTCGTCAAAAGGACGTTCCCGTTCTGTTTTTAAATCAGCCTATTGAGTGAAAGCACTGGGCCTACTGTTTGAGACGCAAAGCACCGATGGTGGGGTGCATACCTGATTTTCATTGGGAAGGATGATTCCTTGTAAAGGATCTATGCTGAGATGTTTTACTTGAGGACCAGGGATCTTCCATGAAAATCTAACGAACAAGAAAGTTTGAAATAGTCAGTAAAGAATAGGCCTTTAGTAGCTAGCCATTCACGTGGTACAAAACCGCCAAGCTGGAGCAGGCTCTTCTTTCAACCATTGGGGCACAATTTCTTGGGTCGAGTAACGAGGAAACTCTGTAAAACGAACACAACGCTAAGAAAGCATTCACCTTTAAAACTCATTAGGAATTCACCTTAACGGAATCCTGGAAGTGTTCTTCAGTTTAAATCTTCTGGTCGATGCTGTACCCAGACAGGTGGGTTTGAAGTAAACAGTTCCCTGAAAGAATTGAAGCGTAACGTGAGCTCCTTCGGAAAAAATGATAAATCAAGCTGTATGGCGCTCAGTTCTAACAATGTTTACAAAATTATATCAGTTAATGAAAGAGAGGACCAACAAAAAATTTAAACAAAAGCTGTTTACCAGGACAGAAAGTTTTGTTGTTAGAAAATGCGTAAGATAGAGCCAATACGAACGATCAACTTGAGCGCTACGATACTTTTATGAGTCCTTTCAATTATGAATCTCTGAAAAAGGGACAAAACGTGGTAGGACGTCCTTTAATCTACTTAACTCATTTTCACAACAGACGCACAATAAATTGGAATTTTTTTGTTTATCTGACCAGCTGCTCTTTGTAGTATTATTATTCAGGTGTGGTGGAAAGGCGGATGGTCAAGGACTCGTGGCAGCGCATTGCAAACTCTGTCTCGGATGCGTCCGCATGGTGGTGGAGATGATGGTGATCATGACAGCAACAACAACGACAACGACGATGATGATGACGATTAAAATAATGACGACGACGACGACGATTACGATGATGATGATGATGATGATGATGATGATGATGAAGATGGTGGTGGTGGTGGTGGTGGTGAAGATGATGGCGACCGCGACAACAACGACGACGATGATGATAATTTAGATGATAATGACGACGACGATAATGATGACGATGATGATGATGATGATGATGGTGATGATGATGATGATGATGACGATGATAATGGAGATGATGATGGAGAGGCAACACATGGGAAATAAACAGCAAACGGTTCACTGCAAGGGTGATAATGCTTCTTAAGAAAATCACCTGGTTATTAAGCTTGACGGAGGGTATCTCAGCGGATCCCACGAGGCTGACCTCCTGCGTAGACAAACCATAAGATTATCATTAAGTCTGTGCAACCATGTTTTTCAATCCAAGAAGAAAGTAACTTAAATTTTAAATTATCCATAAGCAAGTTACGAAATTACGTCTACATCGCAAAACTGTGAATTTGGGCGGTAGAAAAAAATTGACATGCATGACATTCCTGTGTGTGCTTGCACCAAGGAACAATACGGAGGCCCATACTTTTCTTCGATCGTTCGAAGATGTAAATGGTCGACTCAGTCAAGAGAGATTGTTGAGATCAAGAAATTTTGGTACCAGTGTAACGTGACACTCTGCCTATGTTCACAAATGCAATCACTAGTTTTGCGTTACGTAAGAAAACAAAACAAGAAATATTTTTTTTCAAACCTGCGTAAATTTATCAGCATCGTTGAGCTTACACTTGACCGTGTGTTTAAAGGTCTTTGCTTCAGACGGGGTCAATTTAAACACGATCAACTGAAAATAAATATGAAAAGTATATACAGTAAAACCGACGCTTAAAACGTTTGGTATCACTAATATTTGTGGTTAGAAAAGGCGTACTTTTGATTTTTCAAGATTTCAGGTGAGTGGTGGGGAAATATTTGCTTCCCATATCCGGATAAGCAATATTCAAAGACCCCTCTGTTTATTTGAAAACTTCTTCCTTCCCTCGTGGTTAGATCAACTCTCAAGAGCTGAATGGGAGGGGACGGGTGGGGGGGAGGGGGGGGGGGTGTTTTCCATATCCGGATAAGGCGATATTCAAAGACTCCTCCAGGAGAAGTCACTCATCCTGCCCACCCCACCCTGCTGGTTACATCAACTTTCATTTGTCAAATACATTATATAGGATGACGCTTAAATTTGTAAGCCCCACGAAATATAATTTCTTTTAAACAGAAGGTACCTGGTATTTGTCTGTGAGTAGCCCTGTTCTGGGCCTACATGTGAACTCTCTACGGGAGAAACAAACCATAAGTCAATAAACGGGATCAATTGAGGGGTCTGAGTAACTAACCACAAATCCCTCCCCTAAGTCAACATTAACACTTACTTCTCACCTGGGGCAAAATGTTGGCTTAGGAGAGGGGTAGGTGGGTAGTTATTATAACGCATCAATTGAGGTCTCTGGGTAACTGACCACCTACCCCTCCTCTAAGTCAACATTAAAGCTTACTTCTCACCTACGGCAAAAATGGGACTTAGGGAAGGAGTAGGTGATCAGTTAGCCAGAAACCTCGATTGATCATTGAACGAATCAATGAATAATTCTCAATCGAACTCGGCCACTTTCATTGTACAGAGGTGGACCGATTTGGAGGACTGGTTTTACACGATTGCCATGATCGCTGAAAGAAACGTGGCAATCACTACGACAACGACTGCCGAGATAGACACTCCTTTCTTGGGCCTGGTTGCCGCATGTACGTTCTAATCCCCAAAGAAGATGGCCAAAAAGGGTCCAGCAATCTGAAGGATAGTAGAGATCGTGGCGGATCCTGATTTGAAAACCATCCTGAACAGGGGTCAATTTAATAAAACTTTTACAAGTGTAGTTTACAAGAGTAGCCATTGTTTTAGAGTCTGAAAACAATAGCTTCACTTGTAAAAGTTTTATAAAATTAACCCCGGCAGTTGGTCGCTAACGGGAGAATTCGCCTATTATACTTTGAAAAGGACAAAAACGAGTTTTGGTGTACTGGTAACGTGGTCGCATATAGCAGGTGGTTGCCATTGGAGGGTCAACTCTATTTATGAGTCGAGTGCTGTTTTTGCTCAAATGTCAACAGAAAACCTTAAAGTATCTATTAAAAAAAACTGATTCTGTTAAATTTGAATGGAGGAGCGAGGGTGGCGCAGTGGTGAGAGCACCAAATCCCGGCGTCGACGCCATATGTGGATTGAGTTTGTTGTTGGTTCTCTCCAATACTGCTCCGAAAGCTTTTCCCCCGGGTATTCCAGATTCTCCTCTTCTTAAAAACCAACACTTCCAAATTCCAATTTGACTTAGAAAGCACTGACACGTCTCCACAAGTTCTTAAGAACTTATCAATTTTCCAATTTACACGTTACATACATACCCTGACGGATCATCCTCAAATGCAAAGTGGATGGGGTTCTGTCCCGTGTTGCTTAGCAACAGAGTTCTGTATGAAACAGCATTCACTGTGACAGCTGGGAAGACCTGTTATTACAAAGAGAGAAGCCTTCAGACCTGGCTGTTTGAGCGTCACATTTTACAAGCAAAGACATAACTCTTTTTTACTTAGCAACAATATAATTTGCAGTTTTCTATTAAGGATTCTGCTTCAGGTAAGTAACTTAACATTACTTAATAAAACTTAACATACAAGTTACTTGTCGCTTCAAGTTATCTAGACATCATTTTTTTTGGTCAGCCGGGAATATAGGTATTCCTAATACTCTTGACCTTGGACTATCTATCACCTTAACAAAGGTCACTGAGGGTAAAGGTTACTTATTATCGTGAGACGACAAAGAACAACAATTCCAAAAAAGACTTACCAAGTGCTTGGTGTCAAATTGACTCCTAGGAATAAATGTTTCAGTGCCTAATGCAAAAGTGTGCCCTAAAAATAAAATACCTGTTATTAAAACTTATCTGCTAAAGTGACGTTTGCCTATAGATTGCATTGTTGCCAACAGATTGCATTTTTTTTTCAACGTGGGTTATTATGTTCGACGCAGAGGAACGCAATCCTAATACAGATACGAGTGAGATTGTATGGGACAAACGTCGTTGATGGAACAGATCTTGGGACAGCTGCCAGGCACCCCGAAGATTTTGCAGAGGCGAATGACATCATCGCCAACTTGCCAATAGAGAGGGAGACTGGGTTCGAGATCAGTCGAACGCACATGATCTTGATTATCACTTGTTTTACAGAAATAGTATTTTTTTAAACTGTACAGTACTACATCATTTCCTGACATTGTTATTCAACTGGCAAAATGGAAGATGGCTAGGAACGTACTAAACCCAGTTATAATAAGCAACCCTTATATTTTTTAGCTGATAGGTCAAGAGACAATGTGTTTAAGAATAGCAAAACCTTTACATAACACAATTTCTTTACCCTGCGTCAGACACAAAACTAAACACTGGTTAAGTTTGTCTGCGAAACAGCGCCGAAATCCTTGTTCTGGGCCCTCACCTGAGTGCCAGGATTTGAGTTTGCACCGTGATTGGCCTCTTAGAAAAGCCACTGTCAATTTGCCAATCAAGGTGAAAGGAATTCGAAATTCACTTCCGGCAATTCGCTGAGTACATCCGTTCGCAGACGCTATTAACCGAGGTTAATTTACGTCTACGACGCAAGCTAAATTTCTTAGAATATTATAAACGAGTTTTAACTCAGGAAAAATGGGGGATAAAATCAGCTGGAAAACAAACTTACTGAGAGTCAAAAGTTTGGGCGTTTCAGTATATGGTTCAAGTGCCTTATGGTCTATAAAGAGACAATGTTACAAACCTGTCGTGTTTAACGTCAAGCACCAAGGGGGGCACATGGTAGCATCCTCGACAAGCCGATAATCTCTCATGCTCTGCAACAAAACACGAAAATAGTAATGTTATCTGAAAGTAAGCGTGAGCAATCACGAAAGCCCAATTGAATACTGATAATTGACTGATCACTGTCCTGGACCCAGTTTTTCGAACAAAGAATACCACTAACCCGGAGTTTAATTTTAATCCAAGTTTCTTTTTCTTCCTCTCAAAAGCATTTTCTCAGACAATTTTCTCCATTATAGAGCATCCAATCAAAGAATTAAGCTAAATTTGCTCTTTAAGCTATCATAGCTAAATTAAAATTTCGCCCTATCCCTGGGTTAGTTTAACCCAGCTTTGAACAACCCACCCACGGTTAATCTCCCACGCAGGCGTTCTTTTGCCTCGTCAAGCAATCCCAGTTACAGGAACGCGTGACAAACCCCTATGAACGTCTGCGTGGAAGGTGATGTCCTGGCCTGCTCGACTGTTATGTAATTATTGGTGATGATCGACGTTCTTTTTCCTTACAGTTATCACCAATCTGGTATTTATAATAACCTAGGTTATTTCGTTACCTTGTAAAATGCATAGCATTCCAGATCACCACTGAAAAACTGATTTGCGGCATTCTAAAACAATGAAGAGAAAATGGAAAGAAAAGATTAATATGCTATACAGTCCAAGCCACGGTAAGTGTACATCCTTAAGATGTCCGGAAAAATTCGAGCGGTAACTGGAGTTGAATAGGTAGCCGTCGGACACTTAACACCATCCCTATTAGGTTGCTTAAGCAACGACGACGACGACGTCAACGAGAACGGCATAAAACTGAGCAACGGGTTTAGATTGGCAAAACAACAACTTTGCACTTGCATCACGTTTTTTTGTACATTTCTTTGCCGTCACTGTATGACTACGACGTGAAAATGCCTAATTGAACGTTTTGTAGAGGACGTGTACGCAAGGCAACGACTTTCTTCTTCTTTTTCTGAGCTTCGATACAGTCTTTTAGAATTCAACTCCAGAAAAAATTGCCAACATTTGACGAACTGAACGAGATAGACTAAGAGCGATAAAGTTTGAAGCAGCGTGACTTCGTTTTTTTAAGTGACGTTTTCGTAGCCGTCGCCATCGTTGTTGCTTGAAGGAGCTGTGTCACGAAATTCGGCCAAATTAGGAAATTACAAAATGCCCGTTAAATCCAAGAGAAACATAAAAATAACCGCTTAAAACTTTAAAGGAAGGTTAAAATAACACAACAGATACAACAGATACCACGGATGGGCAAAACTGAAGAAGATTGAAACGGATTAAAATTAGGGTTTTTGAAAACTGTTTAGCCTAACAGTTTTTCAAAGTTTATCTCTGCTGCTTGCAACTTCAAAAATAATGCTCAGGAGACATATTTGTGTGTCTCGAATCTCTGACTTTGTCATTTACATGTAATTTCTTTGCTTACTTTAAGTTCTATAGCGATCGAGGGCGAGTAATTGGCAAAATTAAACAATGAACTGGACTGCCGTGACATAAACTCCCCATTGTTCGCGCACGGGATTGTAAAGGAAAGAAGAACAGGCTAAATTGTACTCTATACTCACAGGTCTAAACGTCAATCTGAATGAAGCGGTTTTTAAAGGCAGAATATCACACTCTTCAGGTGAAACAGAAAATATTCCTTTTGTGTCTGCAACAAATAAAACACAAAGAACCTAACGTTAAAAAAAAAATTAGAAAGCTTAAACTAGTGATAACCAAATGTTAGTGAGTACGAGCGAGTTACAGACTTCTGACAGAAGACCAAAAAAGCTCTTGCTTCAACGCTGGTTCTTTGCGTAAGTTTCACGTGATAGAAGGTCAAAACGCACGTGATCAGATTGCGTTCTTTGCATTCCATTTATTCTTAGTGGAAGTCCAAACGAATGCTGACTACATATGTGCCAAACATGCGTTAGAGCACCCCGGAGATTAAGATTGCAGCCTCCTCTTGTCGCCTTTAACAAGACCAAAACTAAGCCAAGACGTACCTTTCATCCACATACAGGTTATCTTCCCTCTTGTATGATTTGTGATGTTGACTGTCTGCAAGCGAAGGATTATCTCCAATCAAAATCATGATATTTTCAATGAAACACTAGGTGCTCACCTATTACACAAAACACCCGGATACAAATCTTGTGGATAAACACAAAACTATAAAATTCGACGGGGTAGGGGAGGTCAAACGACCCTGCAGAGTATATCAACATCAGCTAAACAGGACTCAAGTAAAGAAAACTGAACTGCATCGCCTTAAATCACAGCCCATGTTTTCTGACGCTTCTCAAACGGGATGGTGCGAAACATTTGATTTACAACTTCAATTTCCGGTTGTCCCATGATAAGTACCCAGCGGGAACATTTTCCGGAGAAAAAGATGTTCCGTTGCACCCGGACATTTTCCGCTGGAAAGACCAAAAAAAGGTGTTTCATCTCTTTTCCAACCGGTTTTTTCGGACACTTTTGGTAAATAGTAAGTACCCACCCACTGTCTCTAAAGCTACCCATAGAGAAAAGAACTGTACCTTTTGGGCCACGGCGTTGGGATCCTGTAACTGTCCGAAGTCGGCATGGTGAACATCTAAACTAACGTGTGGAACGACTGCAGTCTGGAAATCAAATATAGTAAAGGTGGGAAAAGTTATAAAGTGAGGCGATATGATGACCTAGGGGTCTTCACATCAGGTGGGCTGGGTTCAAGCCTTGTGATCACGTTGTTTCTGTAAAGGGAACAGTAAAATACTGCAGAGGGGTAATCCTGCGATGGACTACAATACCCCCGGGGGGGGGGTACCCCCTATAATGGCCTATATGGGGAAGCTCCGCCCAAAACGGTATCTTTTTTAGGCCTCAGGTGTATGAAAGGGTAGGGATTTTACCAGTTGAAGTATATGAAAGGGTAGAGAAATCTGTCATTTGGGTCTGTGAAAGGGCCCAAAAGGGCTAACAGATGAATTTTATGGGTGATTGATTCCTATTTAAAAGACAGTGCATTTACAGCAGTTAAAAGCGATGCAAAGTTCTAAACAAGGTAAGTGAAGGGGTACCATTTGTCAATAGAAAGTATACGAAAGGGGTACCTTTTTCGGGAAAAATGGTATATAAAAGGGTAAGGGGGTTGGACTCGGGGCGGAGCCTCCCGGTATAAACATTTGTTGACTACCTTACGGTCGTTTTAACAGAATGAAGTGGAAAAGCCATTTCCTCTCCCTCTAAAATCATGCGAAGCTTGGAAAAAGCCAAATACAAATGGAGAAGAATAACTAACAGGTGGAGTTTCAGTAAGCTCTCTAATTTATATTGTCCTAGCACTTACAGTTTCTCCAACTGAGGCATGACAAAAGAATTCCTCCATAGGAGACAGATCTGACATGGTTGGTAAGACAACAGCAGATGAAGAGGTCTGTGGTAAGGTAAAAAATGATTCTAATTAACAAGAAAGTAACATAACTGGTCAGAAGTTAATCAAATAACGGTGTCAAACTTGATTAAGTTTTAGTTGACTTTTTTCCAATCTTTCCCTAGCCGGGAATACAGGTCACTCTCATTCCCTTCGCTGTTAGCGTTTTCCAAGATTTTCCCGGCAACAGGGAGCGATGGCAGGCCGCTTTATTCACAGGCTAATGTTCCAGTAGCAGTAAATATTGACGGCGGTGCTGTTTAAGGTGGCTCCGTAATTAATACAAGAGCATTAAGCTGTGACAAATTTTCCGTCATAACTTTTTCGATTTTAACGCGATGGCTGCGAAACTTTACAAAAAACAACAGATATCATTCCGCAATAAAACGGAATATTCTGATTTCATTGATGGTAAATATTTCTTGAGAAATTAGCGCTTAAAAGGACCCTACTGTTCAAAGAAAATCGCGTCTAGTAAAAAATTTTGCTGATATTTTTTACTGAAATTTCTGGTATCGACTTTAATTGATATAATAAATATGCCAGAGGAATTTCAGAAAAATCGTTGGAGCAGAAGTCCGTAACTAAAAGTGGCTCAAAATTCAGCTGTGAAATTGTTTTGGAATTTCAAAAATAAATTACTATCAGGAAGAAGGAGACACCAGTTTGAATTTTCAGGACAAGTAAATTCAGTGATTGCTAATTCTGAAAACAGAAGCCGATTGCCTATCGTGCTATTCTTTAAAAGGTACTTTTCAGTTTTAGAAGCACTATAAATTGCTCCAAACTTTGCTTTGACGTCGAATGACTTGTTCCTCGACATTTTTAAAATATCCCTTGGCAGTTTTGGTTCAAACTCCGGCTACATACATTTTGATGTATTGCAATGCATCCTCAACGGCTTTTCCTGCCGTACGTTGTTTCCAATTCAGGAAAAAGGTATTGGGATTGTAAGCTACCTTGTATCGAAGCTCAGATAGAACTGTCCAACACCTTTGTTTATGACCAGAAAATAAGCACGAGCGGCAGCTCTGCGAGGAATTCGCACCTCAGCCAGGGGGGACGAATGACAATGATGCCCATGTCTGTGAACCGATCTGTATAAACATGTATTGCAGAGCAAAACATAATAATCAAGAAAAAAAATACCCATTCATTGAAGGGAGGAGTGACAAAAATTTCAGAGTTGTAAATTTATTCACGGGCAGTATTTTTGCGATAATTTTATTTTGCACTGTGATGTTATTCGGATCACAGGCATGGTAATCATTGTCGTTCGTCCCCCCTGGGTGAGGTGCGAATTCCTCGCAGAACTGCCGCTCGTGCTCATTTTGTAGTCATAAACAAAGGTGCTGGAGAGTTCTATCTGAGCTCTGATACGAGGTAGCGTCCAATCTCAATACTTTTTTCCTGAGTTGGAAGCAACGATTAGCAGTAAAAGTCGTTGAAATTGCATTGCAATACATCAAAATGTATGCAGCAGGAGTTTGAGCCAAAACTGCCAAGGGATATTTTAAAACTGTCGAAGAACAAGTCATTCTACTTCAGAGCAAGGTTTGGAGCAATTTATAGTGCTTCTAAAACTAAAAAGTACCTTTTAAAGAATAGCACGATAGGCAATCGGTTTTTGTTTTAAAAATTAGTAAACGTTGAATTTACTTCTCCCGAAAATTCAAACTGGTGGCTCCTTCTCCCTGAGAGTAATTCATTTTTGAAATTCCAAAACAATTTAACAGCTGAATTTTGAGCCACTTTTATTTACGGACTTCTGCTCCAACGATTTTTCTGAAATTCCTCTGGCATATTTATTATATCAATGAAAGCCGATACCAGGAATTTCAGTAAAAAATATCAGCAAAATTTTTTACTAGACGCGATTTTCTTTGAACAGTAGGGTCCTTTTAAGCGCTAATTTCTCAAGAAATATTTACCATCAATGAAATCGGAGTATTTCGTATTATTGCCGAATGATATCTGTTTCTGTTTGCGAAGTTTCGCAGCCATCGCGTTAAAAACCAAAAAGTTATGACGGTTAATTTGTCACAGCAAAATGCTCTAGTATTAATTACGGAGCCACCTTAACCTTTTCACTGCCAGAGTGAATAATGGAGTTTTGTAAGGTAGCTTTTGAGTCTGTGGACGAAACCCTATGGAGTGACCATTCAAATGAAACCTCTCTACCTGTACTTACACATGGTGCTACTTGTGTTTCAAGATTTCACAAAATGAAATTTGGGATTTTTTGTCGAATCTTACCTTTGCCACATTTGGCAGTGAAAGGGTTAAAAGTGGAACAATGTGATATGTCGATACCAACCTCTACTGCCATCAGTGCTCCATCTTCATCAAGCTGGAGTTTGCTTGCCTTCAGATCTTCATTGAGTTGCTACAAAAATGAAAGATTTAATATGAACCAAAGAATCTTCATCTCAAAAAAATTCAGTCACTGTGGCATTACACAGCTACTGAAATCAGATGTCATGATTATAGTGATGCTAATTACCTCAGGTGAGATTCTTGACAAGCCACGCCTAACATGAGTTTGGTATTGATCCAGATGCTTCTTCTGAAGAACAGCTAAATTGCAAAGATAACGATAGAAATAAATAATCAAAAACCTTTTTCAGCTACCCACTCCATGGAGCCTGAATTTTATGTCAAGAAGCAGTCCAGTGTATTAGCTACTACGAAGTGTTTGACACACTACACCCTAAACATTGCATGTCCACAGGTATGAGACAGTATCACTGTGATTGAAACCTTTGGAAAAGAGCGCCAGAAGTCTTTATATGTGGACAAATAGAAGGTGAGAAGTAGGTTTCCAAAGATGGCAACTGGAGGTAAGACAAACATGTTTTACCAACTGCATTAGGGAGCTTAGGCAACAACGACAGCGACAGCAACCAGAACAGGAAAAAAAGCAATAGATTTAGATTGGCAAAACAATAACTTTGCACGTGCATCACGCTTTCTTGTACATTTCTTCGCTGTTGCTGCACAACTAAACTAATTTCACGTTATTGTCGAGGACAGGACCACAAGACAAGGACTTTCTTTTTCTTTTCCTAAAACTTTGATACAGTCTTTAGAATTCAACAATTCAATATTGCTGACACTGGAAACAGTTCGGAAACATATCGCTCCTCATTTTATTACAGTGTGAAAATAAGGAGATATCAGATTGAAATAGGAAGCAATTATCAATCATATATAAATATTTTTTCTATACCTGGCTTCACTTGTTCAGTGTGACAGGTTCCAAACAGATCAATGAGAAGTGGGTCCTACAAGCAAACAGAATTTATGACAGAAAGTTCAAATTGATATAAACAATTGTTAGTGAAATCTTAAAACAGCCTAGGTAGATTCTCTGGACCATTTCATGTTAAAAATATTGCAAACAATAATAATTGTTTTCAACTTTAACTGAAACAGTTTAACATAGCCACTACTTGTTAGGAAGTGATAATTATTAAGTGTATTGACAATGGGGCTAAACCATCTATGCTCAAGTAGCCTCGAATACACTGGAAGTATCAAGTAGAGCATTACTTCTATTCAGGGCCTGGTTCACTTGGTGGAAATCATTCCAAACAATCTCTTAAACCACCATGAAAAAGGAAAAAAAATGGTTAAACTTTAGACACTAGATACGTGAAAATTTTGAAGCTCTGGTTATCTGGGGCCCTCTAGGGGGCTACGTATGTCCCTAGTCTAAATTTCAAAAACTGTCGTTTCGCATATTGAGGGTGTAATTAATTGTGCTCTATTGTCTTACTTAGTTAATCTTCATTTTTCCTGTAACACTTTTTTTTTCTTTACAATTTATTTTATGAATCTACTTTTTTTTTACACAACCCACCTCAAATAGCCTTTGCTACTTGCATGAATTTATTTTTGGAACAAAGAGTTTGAAATAACTTAAGCTGTTGTTGTTGTTGTCTTTATTTTTTTCAGTAATAGTGGCATAGCCTTCCAGTCCCCTAGAACTATCAAAAGTTTTCAGATTAGTATACGTTTCTGGGAAACTGCCCACCTACCCCTCCCCTAAGCCAAAATTAACACTTGCTTCTCACTTAGAGCAAACTATTGACTTAGGGGAGGGGTAGGTGGGCACTTTCCCGGAAACGTATAATAATCCAAGTTTTCTCATATCCAGTTTCCAAAGTTTAACCATTTTCCCTATGCCTATTCCCTTGACAGATGATCAGTATCTTCATTCAAAGACATAAGTGAAAACTCTGTTGACAAAGTTACCTGATTTTGAACAAGACAGGTTAACCTCCTGTAATAGTTGATTGGATTTGTTGGTGCAAATCGTATAACAATGGTCTCTGATCCTTTACCAGACAGTAAACCACATGTTGTCTCCAGTTTAAAGACACTTTGACTGCAGTCTATCATGAACTGTTCAAAAAGGAAAAAATGTAATGTTACTGAGACAAAGATGTGACAATGTAACAACTTACAATTATAGTTTTTTAATAAACTAAGTAAAGACCTTGGTTTGCAAGCCAAAGCTCAAAAAATAAAACCTTAATACAAAACGACCATATGCACCCAAAATGATTGATGACAATTTTGACGTCTTAAATGAGATTAAACAAATGTACTTATAATATCAGCAAAATTTTTTACTAGACGCGATTTTCTTTGAACAGTAGGGTCCTTTTAAGCGCTAATTTCTCAAGAAATATTTACCATCAATGAAATCGGAGTATTTCGTATTATTGCCGAATGATATCTGTTTCTGTTTGCGAAGTTTCGCAGCCATCGCGTTAAAAACCAAAAAGTTATGACGGTTAATTTGTCACAGCAAAATGCTCTAGTATTAATTACGGAGCCACCTTAACCTTTTCACTGCCAGAGTGAATAATGGAGTTTTGTAAGGTAGCTTTTGAGTCTGTGGACGAAACCCTATGGAGTGACCATTCAAATGAAACCTCTCTACCTGTACTTACACATGGTGCTACTTGTGTTTCAAGATTTCACAAAATGAAATTTGGGATTTTTTGTCGAATCTTACCTTTGCCACATTTGGCAGTGAAAGGGTTAAAAGTGGAACAATGTGATATGTCGATACCAACCTCTACTGCCATCAGTGCTCCATCTTCATCAAGCTGGAGTTTGCTTGCCTTCAGATCTTCATTGAGTTGCTACAAAAATGAAAGATTTAATATGAACCAAAGAATCTTCATCTCAAAAAAATTCAGTCACTGTGGCATTACACAGCTACTGAAATCAGATGTCATGATTATAGTGATGCTAATTACCTCAGGTGAGATTCTTGACAAGCCACGCCTAACATGAGTTTGGTATTGATCCAGATGCTTCTTCTGAAGAACAGCTAAATTGCAAAGATAACGATAGAAATAAATAATCAAAAACCTTTTTCAGCTACCCACTCCATGGAGCCTGAATTTTATGTCAAGAAGCAGTCCAGTGTATTAGCTACTACGAAGTGTTTGACACACTACACCCTAAACATTGCATGTCCACAGGTATGAGACAGTATCACTGTGATTGAAACCTTTGGAAAAGAGCGCCAGAAGTCTTTATATGTGGACAAATAGAAGGTGAGAAGTAGGTTTCCAAAGATGGCAACTGGAGGTAAGACAAACATGTTTTACCAACTGCATTAGGGAGCTTAGGCAACAACGACAGCGACAGCAACCAGAACAGGAAAAAAAGCAATAGATTTAGATTGGCAAAACAATAACTTTGCACGTGCATCACGCTTTCTTGTACATTTCTTCGCTGTTGCTGCACAACTAAACTAATTTCACGTTATTGTCGAGGACAGGACCACAAGACAAGGACTTTCTTTTTCTTTTCCTAAAACTTTGATACAGTCTTTAGAATTCAACAATTCAATATTGCTGACACTGGAAACAGTTCGGAAACATATCGCTCCTCATTTTATTACAGTGTGAAAATAAGGAGATATCAGATTGAAATAGGAAGCAATTATCAATCATATATAAATATTTTTTCTATACCTGGCTTCACTTGTTCAGTGTGACAGGTTCCAAACAGATCAATGAGAAGTGGGTCCTACAAGCAAACAGAATTTATGACAGAAAGTTCAAATTGATATAAACAATTGTTAGTGAAATCTTAAAACAGCCTAGGTAGATTCTCTGGACCATTTCATGTTAAAAATATTGCAAACAATAATAATTGTTTTCAACTTTAACTGAAACAGTTTAACATAGCCACTACTTGTTAGGAAGTGATAATTATTAAGTGTATTGACAATGGGGCTAAACCATCTATGCTCAAGTAGCCTCGAATACACTGGAAGTATCAAGTAGAGCATTACTTCTATTCAGGGCCTGGTTCACTTGGTGGAAATCATTCCAAACAATCTCTTAAACCACCATGAAAAAGGAAAAAAAATGGTTAAACTTTAGACACTAGATACGTGAAAATTTTGAAGCTCTGGTTATCTGGGGCCCTCTAGGGGGCTACGTATGTCCCTAGTCTAAATTTCAAAAACTGTCGTTTCGCATATTGAGGGTGTAATTAATTGTGCTCTATTGTCTTACTTAGTTAATCTTCATTTTTCCTGTAACACTTTTTTTTTCTTTACAATTTATTTTATGAATCTACTTTTTTTTTACACAACCCACCTCAAATAGCCTTTGCTACTTGCATGAATTTATTTTTGGAACAAAGAGTTTGAAATAACTTAAGCTGTTGTTGTTGTTGTCTTTATTTTTTTCAGTAATAGTGGCATAGCCTTCCAGTCCCCTAGAACTATCAAAAGTTTTCAGATTAGTATACGTTTCTGGGAAACTGCCCACCTACCCCTCCCCTAAGCCAAAATTAACACTTGCTTCTCACTTAGAGCAAACTATTGACTTAGGGGAGGGGTAGGTGGGCACTTTCCCGGAAACGTATAATAATCCAAGTTTTCTCATATCCAGTTTCCAAAGTTTAACCATTTTCCCTATGCCTATTCCCTTGACAGATGATCAGTATCTTCATTCAAAGACATAAGTGAAAACTCTGTTGACAAAGTTACCTGATTTTGAACAAGACAGGTTAACCTCCTGTAATAGTTGATTGGATTTGTTGGTGCAAATCGTATAACAATGGTCTCTGATCCTTTACCAGACAGTAAACCACATGTTGTCTCCAGTTTAAAGACACTTTGACTGCAGTCTATCATGAACTGTTCAAAAAGGAAAAAATGTAATGTTACTGAGACAAAGATGTGACAATGTAACAACTTACAATTATAGTTTTTTAATAAACTAAGTAAAGACCTTGGTTTGCAAGCCAAAGCTCAAAAAATAAAACCTTAATACAAAACGACCATATGCACCCAAAATGATTGATGACAATTTTGACGTCTTAAATGAGATTAAACAAATGTACTTACATGTAGTCTAGAGATGAAGTTGTGAAAAGTCCACAATCCTCATCAGTATAGATGTATTTTGTATCTATACTTACGTAAATACAGAGATGTAATTAACATCTCTCTATTAAAAAATAAATCACTCCAAGATTCACCATTTATTACTACCAACTCCTTTGCACACTAGTGTTTTTGCCTTTAAACCAATCAATACTATTTTATTTGTTTAACATGACTTAATAAATCCTCAAAACATTGTAAAATAAGATCATTAAATATTTTGGAATGATTGATAGAAGTGGATTCTGTTTGCCAGATGTTATGGTATTCATAAGCAGTGATACCAGATTTTACAGTCTCTGTAAAACAAACACAGTGCTCAAAACAATAAGATTCAGACACTGAATGTCTACCTGATAAGCTGCAGGAACGTCACTGTTATTGAAAATCTTGAAACTTTTAGCCACAAATTTTCCAGACTCCACAACTCCCATATCGAGATAATCGCTGTCAAGAACAACATCTGGTCCTGTCAAAATTTTAAGCAAATACCAAGATGAATATCAAGCTCCACTTCTGCTTTCTCACAAAAAACAAAAGACTGCAAGCAACTAAATGATGACAAAGGCAAAAGGAGAGAAAGATCTTATATAAAAAATAACATGCGTTAAGGTAAGTCAAAGTGGTTGAACTAGTTGGATGTAATGTTAAACAGCCTCCTGTCCATGACCATAAAAACTTTACGATTTGATGGTTACTTGAGCGAACTGGATGCTTAGAGGATAATTATCTATTAACAGTATTTTGACTGAAAAAATTGAGTTTGGTGCTTTGAATGGGTGATTGTGGTCACAAATGGAGAGATGGAAAGGTCAATATGTTACAGGTTAAAGTTGACTTCTGTCAGGTAAAAAAAATTTTAACCAAAAAGAAGTCAAATTTGACCTGTAACAGAAACAAGCAACCGGTACAACATCATACAGGTTAGGTCTGGGGTATGGACAAAAGGGACATTTTACTGGCAGGATAGGATTTAGCCATTAAAAATACTCTACAGAGACTTAATCACCTTTCCCCACTCCAGTGCACTTGATGACAGAGCAGTTCGTAGCTCCAAGAGCCATAATGTCCATATAATCCACAGACTGCAAGCAAGGATTTTGAGGAGTAAAAGACACCTATGAAATAAAGAAAAATTAGAAAATTTATAGAAATGTTAGGAAAATCATCAATGAGAAGGAGTATTACGCAAGAACATTTCAGGATGCTACCACAGCTTCCCCTCAAAATGATGTCTGAGGAATGCGCACAGCAATTCCATACTGATGATGTGGCACTACCCAGTTCTGGATAAAGAGTCATTTTCTTCTCTCCTTCCTCAGACATCACTTTGGGGCAAAAATCAGGGGTGCATCATGATATGTCTGTTGTTTTTTCCGGCTACATTTCCCCCCAATTTTTACTCAGTCAACACAGATAAAAAAAGCTCTATTTTTACCTTGAGTCTTATGGTGCTTTCTGCTGGTACAACGCCATGGTAATGAGAGCATGAAAACACTGTATCAACATTAGTAGCAGCTGATGGCTGAAGTACTTGGAAAGGTGCGTTAACCTTTAAATGACAAATAATTCATTTAATTAAATACGACGTCAGCCAACTTGATTGTATCAAGATTGATACTAGGTAAGAACAGTTTTGTGATTGTTTGGAATTTCATTAAAATTCAGTTTATTTTATTTGCAGGAGACAGGGTGTCTGTTTGTTACAATAATTATAGTCAGACAAGCACACGTATAATGCAGCAGCAACCTCAGGAATATAATCTTCATAAAAAAAAAAATTAAATAAGATGGTTTCTGTGGGGTAACTTGAATCAAGATCAGAAGACCTTGCTGTGTGAAGTGAAATGAAAAAAAAACTGTCACGGCCATTCTACAGCGTAGTACACTACAAAGAAGTGTACAATGATATCATGCATATTTTTGAAAATACAGTGAAGCTCTCATGAGCCAACATCCTCGGTACGCAAGAAACCAAGTGACTGGAGCTGGCCACTTGCAGGAATTTAAAAATACAGAGCTTGTATGGAAGTTGAGAAAAACAGGGTTTTGTGAAGGCGGCCGTTAGTATTGAGCTGTCTGCTTACGAGAATGTCTGTTAGGAAAGCTTCAACTGAATAAATGCATAGCACAAGGGAAGTGACAACAACATATCACAGAGTTTAATACTGTACTTACTGGTGAAACATTATGAAGCTCAATCCACTTGCTAGCACTGGTTTGAACAGGTACTTCTCCAAAGTTTAGTTCAACTTCACCATCACTCGTTAACTCTGAAGTTTCCTTAGATCCTGGAACACTGGCCATCAGGTGAGGAAATTTACCTGATTGAGTTTAAAAAGCAAAGTTTAGGAATCCTAACTGTCAGCAATAGTTTATGTTTAGCCTTTATGAACGTTAACTTTTTTTCTAGATGGAATGAACTGATCTATCTCTTCCCTAATCAAATGACGGGATTATTATTGTTGATTTTATTTTATTCCTTGAATACATTTACCCTTGAAAAAAGCTGTTTTTTAACTGAAAGGAAATGTTTTTAATTCGAATAATTTTTTTTAACATAAATGAATTATTTTCATCGAAGTTAAGTGTCTTTTTGTAATCGAAAGGAATTGTAAATAAGGCTTGACTGAATAGTTTTTTTAAGTGAAAATAATAATAATGATTACTGTAAAAAAAGGATTTTATAGTTAGCTTTGTTATCAATAAAAGATTATTAATTTTTAATTGAAAAAATGTTTATTATTATCATTATTATTATTATTATTATTATTATTAAAATTGGTAAAATAAAGCTTTCACTGGACAGCTTTTTTAAGCAAAATATTATTAATAATAAAGCATTTTTATCAATAAACAATTGTTATTAATTATTATGATTATGATTATGATTATTATGATTATTATGATTATTATGATTATGATTATGATTATTATTATTACCTATTCCTTCAATTCTCACATGCTTTGTAAAAGGTGTCTTTTGACCAGCACAGTAAGTACATATTGCAGTAGCTTCATAAACCAGTGCTGCCTGGAAAAAAAATGAACATGATGGGATATGTTAATAACTTGTAAGATGAAAACAAAAACAGAGAAAAGGAAGCTGACTTTTACAAATGTATATGTTGTAGTTCAATTTTTTTTCTGGTTTACAATTTGCCTTGTATATGGATTGCTTGAAAATCACAGGGAGAATTTGTAGGGAGCCTGTTGGAGCCTCGTTTCCCGCACTCCTTTAACCAGAAATGGAGGGCAAATGATTTCTTAATTCAAGGAAATGTAATTAGTCTGCTACTTCGAATTACCCACAAAAACATAGTGAAAGTTGAGATAAGCAATACCCGAAAATCAAGTAGTTCAAAAGATGATTATAGGGCAGTTCCAAGATGGATCAGTTACCTAAAAACTGACAAGTTCTGTTTGCAGTGTAAAAGAAGATTACACTTCAGCCAAGAATGGTACACTACATCAGTTACAAATTACGTAATAGAACTGGAGGGCTAGGGTAACAAACATTAAATTTTATTATTTTCATCTATGGTATTTCTTTAGAGATCTTACTGTGGGGCAAAATGATGCTTTGATACTGCATGAAGTTCTTGGAGCCATGGTTCCACTTTCTGGAACAACAGAAAATGGTTCTAACACCTTCCACTGGAACTTTGTCACAAGGTCGCTGATCAAAAGAAGCAGAAAAAAAGGAAATTAATATGGAATGAAAACAACATGTTGCAGCGTATTTCTTTCAAATGTTAACTTATTCATTAGATGACAAGCCTGCCAGCAAGCTCTCTGGCGTGCTCTGGGGGCGGGGCGGGAAAAGGAAGGAGAGCTCGCAACTTCATCTCAGGAATTTGAATACCTGTATCGAAAAAGTCAATGCGAAATGCTGATTGGCAGAGATGACATTAGTAATGACATCATTACTCTTGGCACATGTTTTTCAAAGTTTGTTTACATTCGCGCTCATTGCCACTTCGTGCTGATTGGAGAAAATCTAACAACTCAGTCGACAGGGAGGCACAGGGGAAGTAGAGGTGGAATTCAAATTCTAGAGATGTAGTTGCAAGCTCTCCTTCCTTTTCCCGCCCTGCCGCCAGAGCTCCCTGGAGAGCTTGCTCGCAGGCTATTCTATGAAATTTGAAAATTTAAAAATTTTATTTTTATGGATTTTAAAAGTTACTTTCCTGTGTTAATTTTCCCCTGAAATTATTTACCTTGTGTTTGTAATCTGGAATACAACTTCAACAGAGTCCTTCACTGCACACATGCCAAACTTCAAGGAATCTGGTACGGCTATATCTGCCTTTGGCAACACAGCTTTCATGGGAATGGAGAAAACTCCTTCCTGAAACAGAGGAATGAGACTTGTGGCTTACTAACAGTGAAAATACTTACAACCAATTGTTTCCCTTTTTATAATAACTGTAAATAATTTGTCCACAAACCTATAGAAAGTAGAGATGAGATAAAGATTCAACATCTTAACGTTATCCAGTTTTGCCTTAAACCACACTCTAAGCTGGATGTTGTTTATTAATAAATAGCTTGTCTTTGGAGTTCAGACAGCCAGAAGAAAGACAGAAAATTCCTCAATTGGTTCTGACTCCATTAAATCCTATACCAATGGTAGGGGATTTAATATTATTGCAGAACATTTTAGGAGGAGCTACCCACAATGTGAAGACAGTTACTGATAAAGCCTATGAGTAGGAAAACAGATTTAATGAAAATGCATCTCAAAACATTCTCGCATGAAGCTTGATGCCATAGAATTAAAGGAATTACTTGGGATTAATAATGGGTGTAGACTAGGTAAACAATGACTAAACTCACATGTGTTTCAAATTCAATACAGTCTTCATATTGTCCCTACAGCAAAATAGAATACAGAAAACATATTAAAATCTTTCATTCAATATTACCTACTCATGATCAGCTGAAATAATATTTTTAATCAAATCTACAAAGTGAAATGTGAAACATTTAATTTAATTTAATGTCTAATGTGAAACATTAGAAAATACTCAATGCATACCTTGCACTACTTGACAACAGAGATTTATTTATAGATTAAATAGCTACCTTTTCAAGAGGTCTGAATGTGACAGGCAGTGTAAAGCTTGTACCAGAACTCAAAACAATCGGCTTGGGATAAAGTGTTGTAAAAAACCTACTTGATGGAGACCTTAAAACAAAGACAAAAAAAAAGAGGTTTAGGAAGTGGTTTTTTAAACAAGAATCTAAATAGATTTTCCAGAGTATTATTGATTCTACAACTAACAACAGTGAGATCTATCTGGGTGCTTCAAAAAATAACTTGTCTGGCATGATACACTATTGTACGTCCTGTAAATGTGTTGCTACATTGGTTGTCCAACTAACTGTGTTCCAATCAATCCTTTGACAAAACACTGCAGTTTTTTGAAAGCAAATACTTACTTGTACTGTAGTTTTTGTGTTTTAATCTGCACATTTTTTAGTACAATTTGTTGAGTGTATTCTCCACCAGGTTCCCATCCCTGCCATGTAACACTGTCGGCAACCTCTATCCCAAAATGATTGACACTGCGCTGTGTTTGGACTGGCATGGTTAACTTTAATGCACTGGCTGAACAGATAAATAAGGAATTTCCATCAGTCAGCGATACAGTGATTGAGTTGAAACAAAGAAGAACCTCAGTAAGTGAACACTTCCAGTCAAACCAGAAAAACCGTCAACACCAGAAATATTTCTGGAATGTTGTTGTGTTGCAAGAAAAAAACCAATCAGGTGTGAGAAAACTAAACCGCAAGCAAGAACATTAATTAGTTTGTGGTTTGTGGCTTGCTCGCATGTCCTGATCTTTGCTATGATTGGTCTTAACACAATAAATATTCTTGAAATATTTCAAGTGCTCACAGTTTTCCCGGTCGCACTGTAAGATGACTGATAATCAGCATGTCACAAATGTGGGTCAAACAAAAAATCTTGATTCCACAAGTCTCTGCATGGCTTAGTGGATAGAGTGCCTACTAAAGGTTCAGGAGGTCATACATGTAAGGCCAAATCCTGTTACGAAGTCAAGAATTTAATCTTTTTCCCATGCTCATGACATGCTGATCAACCCATCTCTTAGGCTGCATGCAAACGGACGCAACAATTCCCAACACTGTTGCGCCAACAATGCTGGAAGTTGTTGCGTGCGTGTTGGCAGTGGTGTGCAAACAGATGCAACAACTCCCAACAATGTTGGGACCTGCAGTGTATCTTGGGAAGGATACAACCCATAAGTCTTTGTAAACCATGCATAATGAGCGTGCGTGGCCCCAACAATGTTGAAAGAGCTATGCAAACGGATCCAACATTGTTACGCTACGCTTCGGCGATCATGGAACAAAAGAAATGTTGGGAGTTGTTGGTGAAAAGCTTGACTGGTTTCAAACTTTGCGGAACAACACACAACAACATCCAACAACATGCAACAGGGTGTGCAAACGGACGCAACATGTAACATCCAACAATGTTGGGAGTTGTTGGCCAACAATGTTGCATCCGTTTGCATGGGGCTTTAAACTACAAGAGTTCTTTTAAGAAAGAAACAAGGCAACTCTTTCTGTCGTATTACACAGAAGTACTTTTAAAATGTTATTGTGTCATGAGCGAAAAAAGGCTGGTCAAACATGAGAATATTAATACTGTACAAACAGTGTGATTGTTCAATAAGGTCAAAATCTATTATTTAGCTCGTATATTTGCGGTTGTTTGAGGTATTCATAGTTTTTATGATTCAATGATACGCTAGTAGTAAGTTAATTTTGTACATAAAACGGCAATATTACTTTTCATTACACTGCAGCACATGTGAAAAGCAAGATTGCTGTTATCTGTATGAACAAACCAGACAAACAAAGTCTGTAATTAACTTATTGAAATAATTTCCTTCTGTGCTGTGGGTTGCTTTTACTATCATTTACGAGTGAAGAAAGAACTTAAGATTTCTCTCCACTGATTATTTAGGAAAAGAAAAAGGTTTTGACAAGGAAACATACAATGAAGCATTCCAGATTGTCTCTTACAAACTTCATTATTAAATTTTTCCAACCCGATCAAATTAACTTGTCAATAAACTCACCAACTAAGATTTACAGTGATCAGTCTGATGAATTCCAGGTCTTTCTCGTGCCCTAGCGAAGAAATTCATAAATAATCAGGTTGTTAAAACTTTGTGCAGAAACCAACAAAACAAAGATGGCGCCCACAAGGTTGTTGATAGGGAATCACCGTAGTTACGAAACTTACCATATTTGGATATATTTCCGTTCCAGGCTCCTCTCCCCTTTATCGACCTCCGGTGAACCGGGAAATATCAAACGATGGATGGTTCAGAACCGGACCTGAAAAGGATCGAAGATATCCCGTAAGTTTGAGTTTTTACCCCTTGATTACATATCTTACATAGAAAAGGATGCCAAAAACTGTAACTCTAATTGATTAGGACAATCTGTCACGTTTTGTTTGCACGTAG